TCCATCACAGGCCCATTCTAGGATCTTTACAACCTTAAAAACTATGTAGGCGTATGAGAGCCGTCAGGGCTACAATGCCTTTCAAGACAAGCTAGGCTAATTGGCACAGTATCTACCGCAAACTTTAGAGCTTGGGCGAATTTGCTCTAAAAGCGGGCTTAATTCTTCGTTTGTCCCACAGATTCTGGTCATCAGTCGCCTCTCACGCCAGTAGTCTGGTCAACCCTCGAAGTCGCTTCTGCCTTGTCTTCGTCTTCGGCTTCATCTTCATCTTCATCTCTGCCCTCTTCCGGCGGTCCGACCGAGTGGACGCCGCCTCGCTTCTCATCGCTCGGCAACGGCTCGCTCTCGTCCGACGCCTCCTCCACCACTGCTGGCCTCCACAACTTCTGCATCAGTTCCACTGCCTGCTCTGAGCCCAGCAGACACGCGGAAGCGTCTGTAGGGAGTCGGGTTCAGGAGGCTCTCTTGCCGGCCTGCCTTTCTGGCAGCTTTGTTCCAACTCGCACCTCCACTCCGACTGCCTCTGGCACCATCACCTCCGCCAATCTTTCTGCTGTTCCGATGGCAACAGCCGCAGCTGCCGCTGCTGCTGCCGTGGCCGCCCTGGTCGCGGTGCACGGCCGCCACCCAACTGCCTCTTCCGTCGGGCAGATGGGCTCTGCTCGACTCCCGGCCGACGCCGACGCAAACGCCGACTCCAGACGTCTTTCTCTACCGCCATCCGGCTCGACGAACCACTTTTTATCCTTCCCATCGGAGGTGTCTCCGTTCGCCTCCGCCTCTGCTTCTGCCTCCGCTTCTGCCTCCGCCTCCTCGCCTTCTTCGCCCATGTCGCCATCGCCGTCACCGCCACCGCAACCACCGCCACCCCCGCCATCATCTTCTGCACTGGCTGTACCGTCTGGCCGTCCTGCCTGGCTGGTGGCCAGATCGGCCAACTCTCCCGTCTTTGCCACGTTGCCAGCTCCGCCATCGACGGACCCCAACCTTGGCGGTCAATTGCCCAATTTGGCTTCGCCATTCGCGCCGGCGGCCCCGGCCACCTTCGAAGGACTTCTTACTTCGAGTCCAGACTCTCTGGCCTGCCCTTCGACTGCAACCGGTGAGGCTTCCGCGATGACGACTTCGGCGTTCAGTGTGGCCGCTGCCGCCTGTGCCGCCATGAATAGTTGTTATCTGGCCCATCTTCAGCAACAGCAGCAGCTGCAGCAGCACCAACAACAACCCGACCACTATCAGGAGCCAACTCAACCTGGAACCACCGATGTCGTCTCAAGTGAAGCCGGCCGGCTGGAACGGCGACAGCATCACTTCCAACCGCGACACCAACGGAGCCAACTTTTTGGACTCCAAGCCAAAGCAAGGCGGCAGCAAACGCCGCCTCAGCCTCCTGCACATCAGCCCGGGCCTGAGGCTAGGTCATCAGGACCGCCTGGGTGCCAACTTTTGGCCTCGGGACAACCGCCGACCTTCTCGGCCTCTGTGTCATCCGCATCTCCTCCGTCCACTACCTCCGGCTCCACTCCGTTGCATCAATCTGAATTTGGCTCGCTTCTCGCAGAGGCCACTGCTGTTGCCACCTACCAACAGCAACAGCAGCAGCAGCAACAACAACAACGACAACAATCGTCCAAGTAAGTCATTTTTTATAAACTGACTCCACACTACCCTAACGCACTATGACTCTAAAAACACTTTTTGTAAACTTTTAATTAATTCAGGCTGTATTTTATGTCTTCCTCGCAATTTGTCACTTGGACCACATCCGGACCAGCGCTTCAAGGGGCCGCTGTATCATAAACAATCCTAACCAAGAATGTTCTCTTTTCAACTCTGGCTAACGGTGTTTTAGTACCTTTGATTTCATGTTAAGAGGCTACTGGAAGAGATTCTTAGCTTGGCCTCATCGGAAGCCGAAGGAGGATTTCCTTTCAGCTTTGACTATAGATTTTGCTAGTAAATCCTCGGCTTACAAATCTATCTGATTCGCACAAATCTACACTTACAGCTCTAAGACCTCCTCCTTCTTCGGCCTCCAGTGAGGCCAACTTACGAATTGGTTTCCGTTATTTATTGCCATCCGATTTTCTTGGACCACTCACTTATATTTCGCTTTGATCCTGCAGGCTTGTATACGAAATATTTTCACCCAATTTTATTTAAGGCAATTGAATTATCCCATAATACTATGAGTAGGCCTCACGTTTTAATTATATTTAACA